AAACAGTGTTAAATTTTTTGAAAGAAGCTTGATAGGTCCTGTTGTTGTCACACACAAGTGCAATTACTTGACCATTTAATTGTTTGATTGCATCAACAATATAAAACTTTATCATATAAAAAAGTTGCCATTAATTGTTCAACTACCATCATTTTAAGTAAAAATTTTGGTCCATCATTTTAACATGATACCCAATACTGTTTGGTAATGTCTCAGAATTTTCAACCAAACCAAATAAATTTCCTCCATATTGTAGAGCAACTTTGACATACATGTCATCAACTAAAAGAATACACTTTTTCTGATTTTCAGAAATTTTATTAAGAATATCACCAAGAAAATTAATCATCTAATTTTGAGATTTTTGATGCCAAAGCTGATAATGTTCTTACATTGGGTAACTTGAAATCATCGTGAAGTCTGTTAGATAATGACTGAAATGTAGCAAAATATTCAAATGTCCTGATAAGAATATCAGAATCAAAATGTTTTGTCCCAATCCTTTGTGCTGACATAACATTAATATGTTCTTTTAAAAAATTTTTCTCATTATCAATTTTTAAGTTACTAAGATAATGAATTGTTTCATTGATTTGTGACCAGTGCTGAAAAATTGATATTTGACTTTTTGAAAGAGAAAAAAAATGTATACCAGCATGGTAACATATGAATCTCAAATTTCCCAAAATTTTAATTAAAAACATTGGAATACCCCCAGTGAAAAAATCAGTAGATTGGATGAACAAATGATTGTTTAATTTATATCATGTAACTGCTGACACAAAATCCTGTTGATCAATATTGTGATACAAATTTTCAAAAGTGAGGATTTTGTCCTTTTCTAAAAACTGTACCAACTCATCATTTTGCACATTTCACATAGAAGCAAAAGTTTTATTTGGTGTTCTTGGTTTTAGTTAAGGACACAGTAGTACACTTGAGGGCAAATGATCAAATACTGATGGTGGATTTCAGGGTCGTATTTTTCATCTAATAACCACCGTTTCATAATCAAATGGAAAATGCTGAAAATGACTAAAGACTGTGTGTACGCTATCCCGTGCAGCTGCGGAAAGAAATATAAAGGGGAGACAGGCCTCCCACTTAAGGTAAGGCTTCAAGAACACCAGAAAGCTGTAACACAAGGGGAAGTGGAAAATCAGGCATGGCTGACCATATATGGAGAGAGAAGGGAGATCACCGCCCTCTGTGGGATCAGGTTGCGATCATAGACAAAGAACATCATTGGAAAATTCGTAAACTTAAGGAATCAGTATATATGCTAGGCCACAACAATCTCCTGAGCTGACCAAGCATAGAATTGAATACAATATGGGAACCAGTAATAAGGAGAAAAGTGATAATAACAAAAATTGCAATGTGAGCTCTGTTAAAAACATAAAATGATAACAGCAAAAATTGCAATACGAGCACTGGTGAAAAATGTTTACTGAAGACATTAGGTTTATAATACCCAGAAATTCATACACAGATGTCCTCAAGACAACATGGCACAGTGGATAAAGGCGTTGGTTAGATCCAGTGACAGGACCCAAAGAGTGTGAGTTCAATACCTGGTTAGTGGAGTGGAGAACTTTAAGAGGGAAATTAACAGGAGATAACCATCCATGGAACTAGAACAGTCTACCCCAGTGAGCGAAATAAAGGGTTCAGTTTGACATTTCAACCACCTGAAGAACGCTGGAGTGTACAATGGCTGAAACATAAATATGGCGCCAAGGATGAGGACAATAGTCCGAATAATGTAAATAATGTACATAATACCTCATCTAGAGGTATATTCTTTAACCATCATTCTTGCTCTTTGTCTTAAGGAAGACAAAATACATGTTCACCATAGTTACCCAGCACTTTTTGACCATTTTGAGAAAGGTTTTGGAAATTAAAAGATATTAAGTAAATTATTATTTTGTAAAAAATACATGGTGCTTCTAAAAAGTGAATGAACCTTATATTCTAAGGTCTTGGACTTTAGAATTTAGGTTTAAGAATTTAAAATTTAAAGTTTGTATGACTGTGGGAATCTTTTAGAGACTAACATGGATTAAGAAATGCCAGAAGGAAGGACTTCGGGTTTGAGATATGGGAATTTTAGTTTGGAAAATTAAATTTTGGATAATCATATCTTACAAGGGGTGGGAGGTGCAGATCAATCACCTCCTCCCAAATAAAATACATCTAAACTAAAATCAACCAGTTTAATATTTTTACAGTAAATTTTATATTTTATATTTATTTTTTTATTTTTAATGTCAATACATTTTTGTTGTTATGAAATCATAAACAAAATATTAAATTAAATTTAAATGCGTAAATTTCTGTAAAACAGAAAAATTAGCAATGCAAGAAGAATAATTGCATAAAAAAAAAATTTGAATTAACTTTCTGTGATAAAATTCTTAATAATGATATTTTGTGAATTTCGCTTTTAAAAATAAAAATATGAGAAAGACGATATTGAAAAACAATGTTTTCTTTTTACATTTTTGTGGTATATTTTTAAGAAGAGTTGTTTATTATTGAATTTAATATTTTGACATTAACTTTATGTTATAAATTCTTTAAGTATAATTTTTCATTAATTTTGCAGTGAAAAACATTACATTTTTATTTTTTAATGTCTTTTATTTATTTACGAAGGACAGAAAAATTCAATATACTTTTTTTAAAATAAAGAAAAACAAATTATGCACAGAAAATTAATTTTATACTTAATCTAGTCATTGTTAAAGAAAATATTATTAAATTACCTTTATAAATTTCTTAATGACACTTGCAAATTTCGCACCGAAAAAAAGTTTAAAGATAATATATGCAAAGTTCAAATAAAACAAATAAACATTATGCTCACCTTGTTATCTAAATAATAAACTCTAAGTCAATCCAAAGGTAGAACGTAAAAAATAAAAATTTATTTAAAAAAAAGTAATTTCTTAATCCAATTCCAGCAACGAACTTTCGCGTGTTAATTGTTCGCCCCCAGTCGCTCATTGGTCTAAATTCGGTGTAGAGGCCTGAGTTAAGGATCGCCTTTATAATATATATATATATATATATATATATATATATATATATATATTAAAGAAAAAAGACCACTTTTAAGGTACCATTAATTTATTTCAGCAGAGCCCTAAAGGACGCCGGATCATCAGATAGCACTTCCAAAAAGGCAAAAATATTGTTAAGTAAAAGTTTTCAAAATATTTTTATTTACGTTACAAAAATATTCTTAAGATTAATTTTTTGTATGTTGCTAAGTATCTTCCATAATTTATCCTGACTTTCACAGTTAAGAATGTTTTTATATTCTTAAAAAAATTTGAAAACCTAACGATATTTTTTACTTTCTGTTTATGTTGCAAAATAAAAACTTTATATTTTTAACTTGATTTTCGTTTTTGTATTTAGTCATATTTTCCTTTTTTGCAGATACTTGATCTGAATTTTTTGCATATTGTGTATGCAGTTGAATTTTCTGTTTTATGAATAAATTTTAGACACTTTCTTACACTTTTAATTTTAAAAGTTTTAAAACTACGCCAAAGCACTTTGTTGAACAATTTCATTTTTTCGTAGAAACTTTAAATAAAATGTCTTTTGTATCGTCAGTAGCATTCAGAAGGGAAGGGATCAGAGGATGCGACGGGCCTGGGCCTTCATATCGGGAGGGCATCCAATGAAAGAGTGAAATAAAAATTTAGTTTATATTTAATTTGAATAATATGTTTGTTTCATGTTTCATGTGTTTTTACATATTTAAAAAAATGTCTTTCTTTCTTTAAGCTTACATTTTTCAGTACTAGGCCTTATAGGGCCCCCTACTTGTTGAGTAGGGACATACAATCAAGGAGTTGGCCCCGGGCATCAAACATCTGCACATCACTGTGTATATTGAAATAATAATAAAAAAATTCTTATATAAACTCTCATTTACAGACGCATACCGAATATTCAAATTTACTTTCTACTTTTTAACCACGTAAAAAATGCCACTCAGTATTCTTCTTACGATAGTACTAACTAATGTACTGTACGTGTATTTTATTTAGTAGTTAGTATTTAATTTACATTACAATGAGCTTCATCTCTCCACATCCTCAACAAGTTACCTGATCGCAACCTATTATGACATCGTATATGCCGAGGAAAAAAAAAACCGTCGTAATTCAAGCTTAGCTTCTTCATCTTTACCTGTAGCCTTGGGTAGAGACAAAAAAAAAAAAAAAAAAAAAGGTTAGTTTTGGCAACTGACCAAAAACACTTACGAAGGTAGCTTTTTTAACAGTAACTGAACTAGTTCATCTGTTCGTTTCTTTCTTTCTTTCTATGCATTTCGCATCTGCATAAACTTGATAGCAAAACAAGACAAAAGTATAATTTTCTTGTCTTCAAACATACAGTATTTTTAAACTTTGGTTTTCCAAATCATTTTTATCACAGGTTTTACGAGTACATTTTGTTTTCTATGCATACCGTAAGAAGACTTGTTCCCATTCTCTGACAAACACACACACACACACACACAAGAAAAAAAAGAAAGGAGAAAAAAATATCTCTGACTTGGTATTGAACCACAGTCATCTTAGCTTAATCTTTTGCCCTTTTTTCACCATCCGTGCATCTACACCTGGAAATCCTTGCAGTTCGTTGTACAAAAAGTGACAAGCAGTACATTTTTAGTACTGACGTCTTTAGCATTATTGTTGTTGTTAAACGGAAGATGAGTAACTGATGATTGAATACTAAGCAAAATTTATCTAAAATGACATCGAGATCGTATTTTTTCTTATGAAAATTAGAATCATGTTAAATTAAAAAGTAAATACAAAAAAAAAAGACAAAAAATAATGATGATTATTACTGAACTGCCGAGTGAAGTACTTCTACATTTGTTTACATTTCTCAAGGGCACTGATTTGGCTCTTTTGCGATTATCATGCAATACATTTCGAGATCTAATATCCTTAGATACGGTTTGGATGGAAAAATGCTTTCGAGGTAAGGACCATTTTTTTTTTTATCAATCTTCTTAAAAAATGTTATTTTATATTTGTGGAGGTAGTTGCAGTAAAAAACCCCCCCAAAAAAACAAACTTTTCTTGTCTTGTCAGGTGCATATTTTGCAAGTTTTCATTTTTGCGTTATTAACAATAATAACACGAACATTATTATTATTACTATCATCATCATCATCATTGATTTCTGGTGTGTACTCATTTCTTTCCGGGTCCAACCAGAAACCTTAAGGTCAGAAATGGCATCGTGACATTTTCCATTAAGTATTAAAAAATGAAAAAGACAAAGAACAAAAAAAAAAAAAAAAAAAAAAAAAAGAAAAAGATCGCACACATACATAGATAAAAAAAAACCTCTTCGTAATGTGTGAGTTGTACTTGTGAGTCCATTTTTTTTGTATTTTTATTTAAGGCTTAGGATACCAGAGATTCCTTCAATTATTATTATTATTGTCATCATCATCATCATTCGATTTCTGCTATGGACACACTACCTACCAAGTCTGCGGAAAGACCTAAGGCAGGTCGTGGTGTGTTGTTATGGCCACATTTCATGTTAATTTTTTTTTTTTTTTTTTTTTATCTCCGATGAAGTTGCTAGCGTTACATAGACAAAGTTCTCCTTAGTGTGTGTGCTGTACTTAATAAGACAATTTTCTGTATGTCTCTTAAGCTGGGGTTTCAGGGATTCTTTCAATGTGTTGTTTTGTTCCATTTTTATAATTCCAAGTGCACCTATTACCACTGGTATTATTCTTGTTTTCAATTTCCACATTTTTTCTATTTCAATTTCCAGGTCTTTGTATTTTGATAGTTTTTCAAATTCCTTGGTTGCTATGTTACAATCCGCTGGACAAGCCATATCAATTAGTAGGCAAGTTTTTTGCTTTCTGGTTTTTGACAATAATGTCCGGCCTATTTGCTTCAATTTTTCTGTCTGTGTGGATGGTATAATCCCATAGAATGGTGACATCTTCTATTTCTGTAACCGGCGCTGGCCGATGTTCATACCAGTGTTTGCTTACACATTTTCCAAAGTGTTTGCACATTGTCCAGTGTAAGTATTGCCCCACTCTATCGTGACGATTTTTATATTCATTTGGGGCAAGTATAGAACATCCTGAGATTAGATGGTCTATTGTTTCTTGGTATTTGTCACAGAACCTGCATTTTGGATCCACATTATTATGTATGATATTTGCCTGAAAATTCCTAGTGAAAAGACTCTGGTCTTGCGCTGCAAGAATAAAGCCTTCAGTTTCAGACTTTAATCCAGATGCTCGTAACCATCGATGAGTATTAACTTTATCAACATTGGGTTTATTTGCACGTTCTGGATATTGGCCATGCAGAGGTTTGTCTTGCCAGCGTTGTTTCATCTGTTCAAGGGCTTTATCCTTGGCTTTCTTTTTCATATCTTTGCTGCAATAGTTGGTTCTTGGCTTCTGTTTTGATTTACTACAGAATCTACTAAATGTAAATGTTGTTTGTATTTACTGCCTTCTTTTATTATTGAATATTTTTTCTTTCTGTTTTCATGTTGTTTCACTAATTTTATCATCCAGTCATTTGTTGTTTCCATGTAAGTTAGTAAGCCAATAGTTGTTGTCTTGTATGACAATTCTAGCTGAATAAGACCTCTTCCACCTTCTTTACGGGGTATGTATAGACGGTCTACATCAGCCTTTGGATGATGCATCTTATACTTAGAAAGAAGCTTTCTTGTTTTAGAATCCATTTGTCTGATGTCATTTAGAGTCCAGTTCAAGATGTTGAAACTATATTGGACCACTGGGATTATTATTATTATTATTATTATTATTATTATTATTATTATTGTCGTTGTTGTTGTTTTCTTTCCTTTGATTTCTTTCATTTCCTTCCACGTCCCGACCAGAGACCTTTTAATTACTATACAGTTAAAAAAGAACGCGATTTAAGAAAAGAAAAAGAAAAGAAAAAAGAATGTTTAACAATTATTACGAGAGAATGTCACTCTTCAAGTTATATTAAAAAAAAAATTAAGTATAAAAATATAAATCTACAAGAAATGATAAGTATTTGTACAAACGTTGCTTGTCTACGATACTGAATTGAATACTAATTGTGGCACAAGGCCTAAAAAAGCGGGGGAGATGTGTCAAGCGTTTTAAGAGTCAACAGGTCGGTAGATTCTGAATATTTTTTCAGAAAGTGCACCTTGAGATGTTTGTCGAAATTACAGTCGTTAGTAATAAAATGTTCTGCAAGCTCTGTTGATGTCACATTTATTGTACCCGACATCATATCTGTGTCCATCGAATCTTTTATTTAATTTTTCTGTTGTGCAACCCACATAAATCAAGTCATGTTAGTTTGGTATATTGGGCGGCGTATATTAAATGGAGATCAGTACAATTGTTACCCTTTGTAAAAATCGTGATGTCAAGTTAATTTGTGATAGAATTAACTTGACTTCTATGAGTGTTTTCGGGAGTACAGCGACCTGAAACTCCAATGTTGTTTTGAGTATCGACGCTTACATTTGTTAAAATTTATCTAAAATTTTTTGAAAGAAACTGTAGAGGACCGGGTGGTTTGCGTGTTGTTGTATTAGGAACACGTGTGTTTTTATTTCCTGCTAGAAAGGTTCAACTACAAGAAAAATTCCGGACTCAAGTTGAGTCCAACCGAAGATGAAAGAAAACAAACAAGACCGATATATATATATATATATATATAAACAAATATATGTATTAAACAACACAACTTTACAATGGAGATAGACAATAACATTTGCGTTGGTGTGTGAACATTTGTGTTTGTTCTTTGATGAATGTTCGTACGTACGTGTATGTGTGTATAATGTTCATGGCGTCTCCCACAAATGGGAAACGCTATCTTTTGCGAGAGCTCACATTGTAGAGGTGTTCGCTGAAATGAAGAAATGAAAAAGAGAACGAGGCGAGAAGTCGCCCAGTATTTATAGTATAGGGAGAGAGACCCCTAGTGACAATTAGGGAATTAAGGAGGAGCTAACTCCGACAAAACTATAAACGGGTTGGGAAAGACTTCTTTGCTCAATGTGTTCATAGTTGTCGTGTAGTATTTTAGAAATTCCAGCAAAATTTTGGTGACAATTGATAACGAATGAGATTCTGTCAGAATTTTTATTGTGTTTTTCGGTGTTTTGTTTTGGTATAAAACTATATTAATCTTCATTTTTAGCTTATTTCATTCGCAATTTGTTTCAGTCGTGATTCTTGATAGCCAGGCTGAATGAAATTATTAGCATGCTTCCAATAATCTTTTATCTCCGTGAAAATTCATCTTATGCTTAAAAATTGGCACACCGGGTTTGGTAAGGATGATTAGAACAGCGGTGTAGATGATGTAGGCTTGAAAAATAATTCGGTCATTAGATCTTTACTCTAGTGTCTAAAAGTTCAACACTAGCTTTGAAGAAACTAGATGTCATTTTTATTTGTGATTGAAAATTATTCTTTTGTCCAAAAATATCACGAAATTTTGGAAATTTTAACAAATTTTCCTGTATACCTTCCCAGCTGAAGAAAATATCATCAATAAATTACGGTCTCCATTGCGCATCCTTTGATTTGGCGGGAAAAACTTTTTTCCGAAACGTCATCATGTTGCTTTCCAAAAGGAAACGTATAAGTCTACAGAGAAAATTTGACGGAATGGTTTTGTTTTTTTGCCTTTCTCAAAAGCTTTGTTACATGCCATAATTCTTTCATTGAGATTAATATTAGGATAAAGAGACAAGATGCGCCCATGGTGACCAAAAAGCAATCATGTAAATCATATTTTCGTTTTGAGAATCTATTTATTTTAGAAATCAAATCTGTCCCGGACATAAGACGAAGGCCGTTTTTCTATAGGAGATAAGAAACCGTTTAGCCACTCAAAGATTTTTGCCGTGCAAAATTGACATCCACTAAAAATTGGGTATAGTGGAGGGTATTTATCAAATTCCTCATATATAAAAAATACATAAGAAATTTTCTCAATGACAACAAAATGAATGCTTGCAATGAGTCTGGATCTGAATACAATAGAAAATTTCTAGAAAAAACTTAAAGTTATGGTTCAAAACAAGATAACCAGATTCTTATTCAGCTTTAATCATGTATATATTTATACATGATTTTATATATATATTTGTATATATAGATATATATTTTATATATATATTTGTATATATAGATATATATTTTATATATATATTTGTATATATAGATATATATTTTATAGGTACACATGATCATTCAGCGTCGAGCCCTTAACAAGGTGTTGCATTCTTCACTATTTCGGATAGTATCTAATTAAAAAGTATTTTCTTTTTTTATTTATTTTTAAGTAAATTTCCTTTCCTTAGAGATGACACGAGGAACCTAGCAAGGTTTTCCGACCAGTAGCTGGTATTTGGTTCATGGGGTCAAGCACCAATCGAAATTAAACGAAAAATCATATCCCTCTTTGTCTACATATTTATCTTAACTTAGTATGACATAAGGCCAGAGTCAATTGAGCATCAATGAGAAACCAGCTTACTACATTAAAAATCTATCTTCTTTCTAAGTTGGCAAATCATTGCATTTTGGTCGGTATTCGTGCCAGACTTTTACTTACAGTTAATCTGACTCTCATCTAATATATGCTATTAAGCATCACGTTCTTCCTAATGCCAACAACAGTCTCCAATATTTTCGTCAACTAGTGTGGGCGTGAAGCGGTCCCATTTGGTCTGAGACGTGGATCCTACATTCTGTCTGCGATGTGTGAGAAACTACCCGGGACTGCCTGGTGATATACTGTTTTTTACATTTATCTGTCCAGCATATTCACTTTCACGCTTGCAAATACCAGAGAGGCAGGAGTGAGGTCACGTATTTCTGCATTCGGTGGCTGGGGCTGCACCCAGCTTCTTTGATGTTTGGTGTTAATTTCGTACTGTCTATTCCGAGGCCATAAAATAAATTG